TATATATATGTTAATAATAATAATAATTTTAAACTATATCGTAAAAAGAAAAAAAAATATTAACCATGAATATTATTTATTTTATATAAAAATTTAATTATATAAAACATAATTTTAAAATATTAAATTCACTTTATTTCTCACATAATTTCACTTTGTCCAACAACTACAAACTCCATACTATTCTACTATATTTTCTACCAACTTCCTTTTTTTTTTTTCTCTCCTCTCCCAAACAAAGCCCAAGTATTTTAGATTTGCTGACACACATGATAAGCTTGTTTTGTGAGAACTCCAAAAAAATAGAAGAGAAAACATAATAATATGACCTCCATTTGGTCAATTATTGTCACATATAGTATTAACAAAGAGAGTATGTTATTACTTATCATCCTGTTTTTATGCTATTAATAAGCTGAACCTTGTTGCCAGTGACGAGCCGTATATGGGTGTCAGTGTTGGTTGATCGTGTATTTTATATAACATTTTTTGGATTAAAATTAAAATATTTCCGAATCATGTTTTATTTTTATTCTAGCTGAATTATGTCGCAAAGTTGCTAAAAAAATATTGAAAATTTCAACAATAACAAAATAACTAGACGGTGTGCGGACGGTAGATGGAATTTAAAACTAATTTATTAAAACGACAGTGAATCAATGAATGAAAATCGTGAGTACCTTGCATCTAGCTATTTTCTGCATTTCATCTGACATCAATTGGATTCTTGAAGTAGAAATATCCCCGGGTTACTTGAACCTATTTTCATCAACAAGCCTCAAAATCTTATCCTCTCTGGTGAATGATCAACATGCGTGAATCATTAATTCAATGATTGAACTAAATATTCATAACAAAACTGAAAACCCAATTTAAAAAATACTCAATCCCCTTAAAATAATCGAATACGTGTGCCACAGTCCTAAAAAGACGATCAAATGGATCAATCAGTCTCGAACTTGTACCCGTATTCAGTATCCGACCACTACTCAATTGGCCAAGTGGATGGACCATTTCCATCTTCCCAAGATATTTTCCTTCTTATTTACTGCAAAACCACGTTAGCTCCAGCTCACTGCGCTAAACCCTCGTAATATCCTTTTTTATTCCAAAATACGTATCTATCAATGGGCTAACCCATATCAGCAGCATTCCTGGTATACCCCAATTATAGACATGAGCCCAAAATAAGGATTCGTCACCCACAATTATTACTTCCAGAATTTCAACAAGCCACGAAATTACACGGGAACTTATATCAAATTAAGTATTAATATAAACCTAAAAATAGCTTGACTACCACGACAAGACAAGACAAGTCTCAAAATTCAAAAGCTAATCCTAATAATTTGTATCCTTAACCCACACATTAATCATTAACATACCAGGCCAAGTAACGCGGTTGTGTATACGAGTTTCACAAGTCCATACTCTTACTCTACGGTAAGCAAAAGATATAAACCTTAAAACAAAAACACACTTTTTTTCTCGTAAATTTTAACTTTTACCCAACGGAAATTGCACAAGTGTCCAACAATGATCTCGAAGCTAATAGAAGCGTCTTGTGGTAACACGTTTTCCAGTTTTACTTCATTTTTCTTTGTTTCATTGTGCGGGCGTGGATCCAACGTGGCTACCCCATCCAACGTCGAAAAGGAGCGAGTTGGACCAGACAAGGATATTTTATTATTTAAGACAGTTAGAAGCATCATAAACAACCGATGATGGTTGCTACTTTGACGAGAGTGATGAGAAAGAACACATCAACAATGCTTTCCAATCTAAGCAATAGTTCGTCTCTTCCTATAAATACCAAATCCCAAATCCTCTCACCACATCCATACACTTTTCTTTCTTGCATTCATCCAAGATTACCCAACAAGAAGCAACTCCCAACTTCTGGTAAGCACCCATCATCATCTTAATCTTATCCCATTTCATTTCCACTTAACTTCTGGATCCATTATTTTGCTGACGGCAATTGGTTTCCTTCTACATGTTACCGAATTCACAGAAATTCTTCTAATCGAGTACTTCCGGTGGTGGTATCATTCAAGGTAAAAGATTATGATCAACCCTAAATTTTTAATCTCATTTGATTCTATTGGATGCACGAAAAATTGATGTGATAGATTAAATTGCAGAGAAGCGTAGAGAAAGGTGAGGAGATGACGATCAAACCTGGTGTTAGAGTTTCGGAGGGGAAGCTGGTGGTGAAGGGGAAGACGATTCTGACGGGGATGCCGGAGAATGTGGTGGAGACATCAACGATGGAAGGAATGTTCGTGGGAGCTGATTTCGAGAAGGAAGATAGCAGACACGTGGTTTCGCTGGGAACTTTGAAGGATGTTCGGTTCATGGCGTGCTTCCGGTTCAAGCTGTGGTGGATGGCCCAAAAAATGGGAGATCAAGGGAGGGATATTCCCTTGGAGACGCAATTTCTGCTTGTGGAAACCAAAGACGGGTCCCACCTCGAGTCACAAAACGACGACAACAACAACAACCAGATCGTGTATACAGTTTTTCTACCTCTTATTCAAGGCTCGTTCAGGGCGTGCCTCCAGGGGAATTCCGACGATCACCTCCAGCTCTGCCTCGAGAGCGGCGACGCCGACACCAAAGCGTCGTCGTTCACCCACGCGCTCTTCATCAGCGCCGGCACCGACCCCTTCGCCACCATTCACAACGCCTTCCGCGCCGTCAGGAGCCACCTCAACACGTTCCGCCTCCGCCACGAGAAGAAGCTCCCCGGCATCGTCGACTGCTTCGGCTGGTGCACGTGGGACGCCTTCTACCAAGAAGTCACTCAGGAAGGAGTCGAGGCCGGAATCCAGTCCCTCGCCGCCGGCGGAACGCCGCCGAAATTCGTCATCATCGACGACGGCTGGCAGTCCGTCGGCACCGACGAGAAACAAAACACGGATTCGAACTCGGAGTCGTCGCTGCAGAGGCTGACAGGGATAAAAGAGAACGCGAAATTCAAAAACAAAGAGGAACCTGAATTAGGGATTAAGAACATCGTGGACATAGCGAAAAAGAAGCATGAAGTAAAGCACGTGTACGTTTGGCATGCGATTACCGGTTATTGGGGCGGGGTTCGTCCAGGAGTGAAGGAAATGAAGGAGTACGAATCTGTGATGAAGTACCCGAACGTGTCGAACGGAGTGAGGGAGAACGAGCCAACGTGGAAAACGGACGCGCTTGCTGTTCATGGTTTGGGGCTTGTCAACCCTAAGAAGGTGTTCACGTTTTACGACGAGTTGCACAGCTATCTGGCGTCCGCGGGTGTAGACGGCGTTAAGGTGGACGTGCAGTGCATTTTGGAGACTCTGGGCGCGGGGCTTGGAGGCAGGGTGGAACTGACCGCACAGTATCACCGCGCCCTCGACGCTTCCATTTCTAGAAACTTCCCTGATAACGGTTGCATCGCGTGCATGAGCCACAACACGGACGCGCTCTACTGCTCCAAGCAAACCGCAGTGGTGAGGGCCTCCGATGACTTCTACCCGCGCGATCCGGTGTCGCACACGATCCACATTGCGTCCGTGGCGTACAATAGCGTTTTCCTCGGGGAGATTATGTTACCCGATTGGGATATGTTTCATTCGCTTCATCCTGCTGCGGAGTACCACGCTTCCGCCAGAGCCATCAGCGGTGGGCCCCTCTATGTGAGCGATGCGCCTGGGAAGCATGACTTTGAGGTCCTTAAGAAGATGGTTTTGCCTGATGGGTCGGTGCTTCGGGCCCGTCTCCCTGGGAGGCCCACTAAGGACTGCTTGTTTACCGACCCGGCCCGTGATGGAGTGAGTTTGCTGAAGATATGGAACATGAACAAGTATGGAGGGGTGTTGGGAGTGTACAACTGTCAAGGTGCTGCGTGGAGTGCTACTGAGAGGAAAAACGCCTTCCACCACACGGATTCCGCCGCCATCACAGGCTATGTTAGGGGTTGCGATGTTCATTTAATCGCGGAGGCTGCTGTGGAAGCTGAATGGAACGGTGATTGCGCTCTCTACTCTCACCACTCTGGCCGGCTCGTTATTCTTCCGCACAATGTGGCTCTGCCGGTGTCGCTTAAGGTGCTGGAGCACGAGGTGTTCGCTGTTGCGCCGGTTAAGGTTTTTGGTTCTGGATGCAGTTTCGCACCTATTGGACTTGTGAACATGTTTAATGGGGGTGGCGCCATTGAGGGGCTGGTCTATGAGGTGGTGAATGGGGAGGGGTTGGTTCGTTTGGAGATAAAGGGGTGTGGTAAGTTTGGGGCTTATTCGTCGGTGAGGCCAAGTCGGTGTTTGCTGGGAAACAACGAGGTGGATTTCGATTACGACGCTGATTCCGGCTTCCTGACCTTCAACATAGATCGTTTGCCACAAGAAGGACACAGGGTTCACGTGGTTCAGTTGGTTTATAGTCTATCTTGTTAGTTCGTTGCTAGTTAGTTGTCATGTTAGCTTACACGTGTTGAATTATAGAGGAAGGGGACAATTGGAGAGGAGAGGGTTTTGAACGATCAATAATTTCCCCCTTGTGATATTTCAGTTTATTACACGAGCTACCTACCTGTGTTTTGGAATTTGGATGGAAATTGAATACATGTTTCTAATCGCGGTTTTATCTTTTGTTGCTTAAATTTGGCTGATCCTTATTTTAAATATTTTATAATTTCTAACTACTACAATACGACTAGTACTCATTACAGAGTATTTGTTCGCGCAATGATGATTGTCTCTGCCTCAATACATTAATAAACTGCTCTAGTTTCAACTCATGATAATATTCAGTTGTAACATAGCATGCTTAACAAACACTGAGCGAATCGATCCAAGGCTGTACTTTAGTTTTTCAAAGTTGTGGTGTGGCGTGTCAAATTACCTTTGCTTTGCGTTTGCAGTTTTAGATAGATGATTTAAAATGTAGCGAAATTTACACGCCACCTTTTTATTACCAGCGTGGTTTTCTGCCTTTTCAGGGAAGCTATCAATTGACATTTTACATTGCCTGAAACTTGCACCTTTTTTTACCAATTGAACACGGTTTAGAAACTTTAACACAGGACAGGAGTTTCGTCCCTCGAAAAAGGTCATTATGTCGAAACCAATGCCACGCCCATACTTTGCACGGCTCTCGTGCAATGTTTGGATATATAATAAGAATAAAATATAATAAAATAAAATATCGATACTGATCGGATATTTTATAATAACCAAATGACTTTTTGTGTAAATATTTGAAAAGTAAGCAGACGAAAAGGAAATTGTGATCCAAATAAACACGTAAAAAAAATAGAAATGTTGAATAAAATGAAATATTATACATTCTATAAATATTTGTTTCATTACCTTGCTTAACTGGATAAAGTAAAAGGCATTGCTTCTTTGAAATTATCTACACTATTTAAACAGGGCTATTAATTACGAATTCCCTATGCACATGTAAACCACCGAGACCCAGACGTTCGTCTTAAATCTTGGTTAGTCTCCATCATCATGTGGATGTTGCTCTAGAAGTAATTGCTCCAACTCCTGTCCATATCTTGCATCGTCCCCCAATCCTGTTTGTGTATAAAATGTTTGTTTCTGGATATTCCAGTCATTTGCAATCTTCTCCACAACATCTCCTATCAGCTCCTTATCTTCTTGTATGTGCTTTATGTTTTGGACGTCTAAAATATTGCTCGCCTCTTCAAGGAAAAGACAGAATTAAATAATTGACAAAATTAATGTATATCATGTGTTGGCAAATTGCAGTAGCCAGACAGTAACATCCAAACAGGCCCTCCCCCAATGTCAAGAAATTCCAAAAGTTGTGTGGAGATGTAGTCATTTTTTATTTTAGAAAAGAAAAATGCAGCAATTCAATTTGAACCATGAAATCTGATCATATATGTTGTGTTCATAATATGCATTCCCACATTTACAGTAGGAAGACAAGTTCTTAGTCCTGTAGTGATATGACTGGCAAGAACTGAAAGCTAGTTACATAAAGCAGCTTCCCAGGGATAAGACCAAAAAAAGAAAGAGAAGAAAAAACTCGGGATAAGTGTATCTTCAAGGTTGCCTGCATTGGTCTTCTGGGATGACAGGAAAAAAGAAAAAAGCTTGCCTTTACAACCAGCAACTACTTCAAAAATAGAAAAGTGTTTTAACTCCCAGGAACCTTGAGATGTAGAATAGGAAAGGAATAAATACCTTCAATAGCCACTTTCTTAGCCGCAGCATATCCAGATGACTTTATCTTCAGCAAATTGAGCTCAACTTCCAAGCCCTGACATGTGGAAAGGAGAAAGGAAGTTAATGACAACGAAATCACAAACTGTTGAAAAGGCAATCTATAGTAGGAGATTGTGCAAAATACAACTCGTGACAGATTCATTAGTTTCTGAAAATATGGATATCAAAATCTACCCAATCCCAGATGGAAGCAAGGATTGAGCAGCACTTTGAACATGTCTTGTTCACAAGTTTTGATCATAATTACATCAGTTTTCTGCCCAATTGCCCCTGAATATAATCACGTTGTGTAGGAATAAAGGTGTGAAAGCCCCTGAATATAATTGCATTGTGTAGTAATAAAGGTGTGGAACAAATAGGAAAGTTATTATCAAATATATGCAGCAGAAAACTAAATATACTCGCAAAAGTTGCCTGGATCGGCTATTCCTTCAAATTTCAATTTGGAAAAATCAAGTACCAAAACCCAAAAAAAAAGTGTAACATAATAGCTAGAGCCTAGAAACATAAAATTGAGCAACAGGTAAGTTTTTTTTTCTTTTGGAGCCATTAGTTGGTTGGTTCATCAGGCTTGTTATAATTAACGCAACAGCATTTCATATTGTATAATACCATCAGAACCCTATGTAAATGCCTACATGCAATATTCATATGACACACTAGATGAAGAAGATTAATAATTTATAGTAAGTTTCAAATAAGCTTATCATTAAGGAATCTGACAGGAAATCAGTGTAATTAAAAAATTAATAAATCATTTTAGATTCTTACAAGATCCATGTGGATGTAGTTGTCAATTGAAGTGCTATCAAATAACCTGTCATCCACATTGAATAGATGAAAACAATAAGCTGTTGGGCTAATTATATTATCATGATAACATGAGAAGGAAAGAAGGAATTTGGATATACAAGTGTAATAAGGTGGTTTACTTTTCATATGCAACTCGAATACGGGCATTCTGTAATTGTTGGAGTTGATTTACTGTCTCTGTGACACAGCCTTCCGTCAAGTCAACAGAGCCGAAGAGGAACATGTTTCTTTCATGCATTCTCTTTACTATAGCAGGTACCACTCTAATATCATTTGCTTTTGCATCAGCAACAAGGATTCTAAGTTTCTTTAACTCTTCTGTACTAACACATAAATTTTGGTTTTTCATGTGAACTGTCATTATATTTGGATAAATAAAAAGCAAAATGAAGCATCAAAGCAGGGATAAAGCAAAACAAAATAAAAATAAAGAAGGATTTTTCGGCAATAACCACTCTACCAACACTATGAAACATGGTCCAGTAGGGACGACAGTGCACAACATAAGATAAGGTTTTCTTCTGTCATGCATTGTAGTAACTATTTTCTAAAAGGCCAGTACCGCCCCAACATCATAAGCATGTCTGGTGTAAAATATTAAAAATGAATGTAAAGACGTTTGACCAACATAGAATTTCATTTCACTAGAGACCCACATTAGGAAGTATCAGCACATGTGACACACGTCTTTGCCTGACAGAAGTTGACATGGAAAAAAAAATAGTTTCTGCCACTAAAGCATAACGATTGAGGCATGAGTGCTCTAAAGCGGAATAGCTAGGTTCTGTATGATGCAGGATGTTTCCTTTTGGAGGAGGTGCGAGAGAAAAACATGTTTATGCCATTCTACCATCCTAACCATAAAAAAGTAGATTAAACACATGAAAGCAGACTTATGTTCATTGTGTGATAATGGCACATATTGATCACAAGTACTGAATCACAAATTAGTGAGGTGATCCTGTGAAAGCACATGCCCAAACAGAAAGGTACAGCCTTACAGGTATAGAAATAGAACTAAAAGGATAAAATTAAAGTAATTATGAACAGATCAAATAATCTCATTCCCTCCATACATACCCCAAACTGTTTGTACAATGTTAGTGTGACAATACAAAAATTATCCAATAACTATAATTAAACATAGTTTTTCAAATGGAAAATTGTCATACCAAGGGATAGATAGATCTTAAAGGAAGGATTAAATGGCTGAGTCTCGTAAAGACAGTAGAGGCAATAAAGGCCACCTAATCTGTGTGATAATGAAGCAGTACCAACTATGTAACCTGCAGAGGAACATAAAGGAGTTTCTATACTGAAATAAAAATATAAAGGCTGATAAAGTAAAACATCTATGCCTATAATGTATATCACATAATCATCAGATACTGGTAAATTTTCACTTATATATTATGATCATTATTTCTGGTTGGATCACTGCTTTTTATTTTTGAGAATATATTTCAACATAAAATAAACCATTCAGCATGTAAATCACCCAGAAAAAAAATTCTAAACTCAATTGAGTAGCTTCTACTTACCATTTATAAATATAAATAGGCAAGTAATAATCACAACTGCATACACCAGCAATACATTACCTATACAATGAGCATACAGCGATTGCATAAAGAAGGCCAGGTTGGTAGAAGGACAAGCTTCGTAAATGTGGGAGAACTTCCTAGAAAGCCATACTCTTTTCATATCAGCCAAAGTTGTTGACTCATCCTGTCACCACCAAAATTGAACAGCAAATGCTGATTGTTAATATCCAAACAATGGGAAATAAGCTCCTTTAATTTACAAAGAGAAAACACAGAATGGGGAAAATCACTGGTCATAGATGTTGTTAATACCTGAGTGAATTCACCAATAAGTTCATCAATGTCCTTCTTGAAATAATCAATATCTATATTCATGGCTAAGAACCCTAATTTGTGCCTGAGAACTCTACCAGCAAGTTGTCAAAAAAATTCAAAATTTGCTCTGCATCATTAAAAAGAAAAAGAAAAAGAATATTTATCTAAACAAGGATAATTCAATATTCCTTGAACTAATGAAAATAGAGGAGAAAAAACACAAGCTTGTTTGGCAACACATCAACACCCAAACCACGGTATTAGAAGTCTGGAGTCATGGAACCTCCACTGGCGAATGTGAATCACAGGGCAAGGAGACAGATGGTAATATTTCAGAGAGGAATAGTATAATTCAAGCAGAAGAATAAAAGGTGATATTTTAATCAAATAACTTACGGGTAAAACACAGATGTACCTTTTCCCTATCCTTGCTTATTACATGGGAGATGATGTGGGTTTGATTTCATCCAAACCCGACCTGATATTTTAAATCATGACCTGACTAAGACTAACTGATTCAGTAGTTTGTGACTGAGTGAGTATTTGTGGCAAGTCAGAGCTTATAGGTGGCGGGCGCTATCACCATGCCTTCCCCATTTTTAATTTGTCTGGATGTGACTAGCATGAAGTGGAATTGTGCAGGCGCAAATCCAAAGTGGCAGCCTCATCCACAAACGCAGTCAGACCTAGAACAAAGAGGGCAACTATAAAAATCAAAACTCATCCTAAAAATATATAAGTATCAAATTTCATAAAAGATATTCATAATTATGTGTTTTTTAAGATAATTCAAGAACACATAATAGAAAATATACTTACACGAGAAATTAATTTTTTTAAAGATCCTAGATTACAAATGTTAATCACCAGTTTTACACGTCACAGAGAACTTTTATGAATTTAAAATAAAAATCAGAATTTATAATAACCATAATATTTTTATGAAAAAATTATATTATTTATGTTCCAAAAATCTATTAAATCATAATGAATTATGTTACTCACCAAATTATCTTTTATGACAATACTAATCAACAGCCAGTCAACCCTTGAAGAAGAATTTACTCTTAGATTATCAGTAAATAGGAGATGGAAGAGAGAATATTTGTTGATTTCTCTCCGTTGAAACTGTTAAATCCCTTATTCGTAAGTTTGCCCCCATTGGCAAATGTTAATATAAACTTTTAAATTTTCAAATAAATTATAATCAAATCAATATAAAGGGAAAACTAATGAAGTCATTTAATTGCAAATGCAATTATCTATAACCTTAAAATACAAAATGTTTTACAAAAGAAATGATATTAGAATATTTTGTCTAAAAAGAAGAAAAAATACAATTATCTCCATAATAAAGATTATAAAAAGGAAAATAGAATATTTGTCTAAAATAGAGGAAATAATATTATTATCTTCACAATAAAAACTATAATAGGAAATAAAATCTTGGATGAATGCCTGAAAGGGAAGTGTACAAAACTTTCCAGAAATGTTAAGTTCACTATAAGATCAGTCATCAAAACATGGATGCAAAAGCCCATGATGTGCCCAAAAAAAGTCAGGCTCGGATACAAGGGTAGAGATGTTGCCTGAGCATACTCACCAATTAATTGCTACATGAATATTTAGGATTTTCATTTCATTTTACACACTTGATTGTATATAGTGCCTCCAAATATGAATGATACATGTTGAACAGAACTTGCTGCTCATTGCTCAGAGAATATACAACTGAAGAACGTGCAGAAGAGGGGTCACTATTCACTAGCAAGAAAATAAGAAAAACAGTGAGGGAGAATTCTTGCAGAACCAAGAAATACTATCTCCATATGAAGTAATGAACTTCTGAGAAATTGGAGCAATATCCTTCAAATTCTCCACCGGTCCTCAGGATGGGGAAGACTTATTTTAAGAAGCCAGAAGCCCATAACCACTACATTATAGTTTATTCAACCATTAAACAAATGCAATCAATTTTTATACCAACAATTTTCCATTTCCATTTCCATTTTTTTTCCTCTTCAGTCAGTATCCAAATGCACAATGACAGAACAAGGCTAGAATCTCAGTTGTCAAATCCACTCTAAGAAGATTCTAAAGTGTAGAGAAGAATAAAATAAAGTTAACCCCTAATCAGAGCCTACCTGTCATGGAAGAATAAACCGAGAACAAGCACTTTTAGATGGGGATAAAATTTGGATAAGTGAATTCATCAAATAAACATTAATTTCCATTCATGAATCCGACTAAGCTGGTCCCAACATGTCATCATGGTCCTTGTTATATCAGGAGTTGCTAGAGGGACATGAATCAATAAGATGTATTGCTGTTAATGAACAAAATTTGCAGATTAACATTAAGATTTACAATTAGCTATTTTTCAATTAATGGTTGAATTAGATGCAATATTTAAATTTGTTGTTTCCCTGATACTTCAACTTCCTTACCTGATTATCCAAAAGTAAGGATGATGATTGACAGGAAGCTAAGCTCACAAGCCCCAGGTGCAAGCTTTTTTTTTCCTTTTCTTTTTCATCGTATGATTTCCTATCCCATAAAAAATATATAAGATTTAAATATATTTTTTGTGTTTATATAATCTACCTCAATTTGATTTTAGTCTCTATAATTAAAAGTTTGAATTTTAGTTTATAATAATGTCATTCCGTTTAAGTTTAGGTCCCTCTACCATCAGCAATATGCCACATATGTACTCTAGAACAGATAAACAGCAAAACTAATGTTTAATAAATTATAAGAACTGAAACCTAACTGGAATATAGCTATAAGAATCCAAAGTTAAACTTCTAAAGTACAGATACAAAAATAAAAAAATCAAGGTAAACCATAGGAACAAAAAATATATTTAATCCAAAAATATAATAACAAACCATGGGGAGTTTGCTTAGATTATGTGAATCTACAGAGAACTGAGTACTAAAAGCGAAAATATATGACTAACTAATAACAATAACGATGGGATCATAAAACCATTGTACGTAACAGAAATTTGATATCCAAGTTCAGTTGATAGCTATGGAAAACTAAAAGTTTAGTTATCACAAACAATTTACAAGTAGCTTAGTACAAATAGGAAGCTACAAGGTATTATCACATGAAAATCCTATTCATCTTTGCTATGGACACGTTATAGAATTTCAGCATATCTGGCATGAACCAAACAGAGTTACAATAAACGGTTTCATGCCCTAGAAGAAATTGTTGTTCGATCCTAAGATTGGTTCACTGACATATGAAGTGACTAAAATCCCTTTCCAAAGTAATGAGTTTGTGAGTGAATTTCTTCGTGGTTCACAGACTCCATTTTGATAGGTTTTTTAGTGATCTCAACTCTCAAGGTTAGCATTTCCTCAGGCCTTTTTTGGTGTTTATGCATAAGGATACCTGTGTCCTACTGAAATATATTTACCATTAATTTATACAATTTATTTGTACCATTTGGATTCTGCAGTCCAGAGGTTTGGAAAAAGACAACTTGATCTGGTGCATAAGGACAACGGAGAAATTCACAAATATGGTTATTCAAAAGCTATCAATTAATTCTCCATGAGAGTCAGGCATTATGTTTCAACACTGAAATCTCAATTAATTCTAGAATTCCCGCATTCAAAACAATTAGCTTGGTTTGAGAGAAATCATAAACATGAAGAACTCATTTCTCCTTTATTGTCTAGTCAACAATGTGCCGAGTGGTATTCATGGCTAGTGGATAATTTATCTTCATGGCAACGGTGCAGAATAAAGACGAATCAAGCATGCTAGGGTTACAAAATAGATGCATAAACGGAGCGAAACTTGAGAATAAAGAATCTATAGTTGCAAAGCATACAGCAAAATGTGAAACGCAACTAGAAATTACGATATTAGCGCACAAGGTGCGAAGATACAATGATATGCGAAGGCTTTCGACATTCAAAACACAGAGAGAGAAGTAATGAAGAGTCTGAAGAGATTAGAGAAACTAACCTGAAACTCAGTTATGATAAAGAAACAGGAGGAGAGGGATTTTGAACGAATGAGTATCGTAATCAAAATAAGCCCCAAACGACTACGCTCCGTTTGATTGTTTGAAGCAGTAGAGCGCATCCGTATTGTGGCTCGTGCAGGGAAGTTTCTAGAGATGCTAGTGTCTCCTCTGGTGTCTGGTCTGGTGAGTTCCACCCTGCCACCAAAATGCATTGCACGTCCACCTTAACGCCGTCTACACCAGCGGATGCCAGGATGTTGATATAGAAAAATCATTTTATTCAAACTTTTCATTTAAATAAAAAAAAAAAACAAACAGTTTTGTAGTTTATTATTGCCTTTTAAAAATCAATATACTGATTGAAAAATAATTCTAATTTTAATAATTTTTCAATAATAGAAAAGTGGAAAACATAATTAGTTGTATTTTCTATAAATTAAAAATCAAATTGTACATTTCAACTTTTGAAAAGGTTAAACCAAAAATAAAAAACGTAAAAATATAAAGTGTAAAAGTTATTTAACTTATGAAAGAATTTGATTTACCTATTCCTTTTTTCCAAATAAATCTAATTTATTATTTAGCTTTATTTTATATGACAATGATATGTGTTTGAATTGATCTATGTTATTCATAAAGTCTTTTTTTACGCATTCATATTGGACCATTTGATTTTTTTATTATAATTAACCATGTATCTTATCTTAACTTACCAACATTGGTTGACACAAAAAGTAATTGATTATGTCATGAGTGACAATATGTGGGATTAGAATAAACTTGAGCAAAACCTCTTTAGTAAAGTTTTGAAAGAAATCTAAAGTCATACAACCCCAATTCAAGAAGATAAAAAAGGATGACTTGTCCTAGATGTCATTTGGTTCACGAGAACATTTGTCATACATTGAGAGATTGTCCTATAGTTAAATCAATTTGGGTTTACATTGTGAATGGATGTTGGTATCCGAATTTCTTTCATGATGATGCATTAGTTTGGCTTAAAAGCAAACTTATGCCCCAAGGAAATATTGATGCTCGTTGGACAACCAAGTTTGTAGTAACTATTAACGATATCTGAAGAGTTAGGAACAAACTAGTTTTTGACCAACAACAAATCAGTAAGTATGCATTAGATTTGTACACAAAAGGTGTAATGAAAGTGACAAAGCCTATGAGGGTCTAATTAATGTATAACCCATCAGTGTATAACCCCCTTAAATGATCCATATAGATCATATCTTATTAGATGGGTACCAAGTTGTCCAACTGAATTTTAATTTTAAATATAAAATATACTATGTTGAGATGTGAATATTCACTTTGTACGTACTCACAGTCTTTAGACAAAAATTAATCATTATATGAATACTTTATATTAATATTATGATTATTAAAAAAATCTTAACTTTTTTTTTTCTTTCATTTTTTATTTAAATAAAATATAGAGACACAAAGTGTCTTGTTTTCACTAATTATAAATAATATTTATTTTTTACATAGGTATTTAAAAATAACAGATGTAAAACGTTACTTCTTTTAACTATTAATGCAATACAAACATTGTCTTGATTCAAACGTTGGTCATTGACATCAAGATTCTCAAGTCGTAACAGGTAAGGTATTCTCTAATATGAAATTACAAATTTATAGTAAATTACAATATACTTATAATTCATTGTCACTTAGTTTTTGTTTGGTTGAAATGAGTGAAGAAAAAAAAGAGAGTAAAAATAGGATAATGAAAATAAGTTGAGAGATTTAGTCAAAAATAAATAAAGATGTGAAAAAATTAAGAGGTAAAGAGTCTCATTCATTTTTCTGTCTTCTCTTATTTATTTATATATATATATATATATATATATATATATATATATATATATATATTTTTTTTTACATATTTTT